TAGTGCTAAGGGCCGCCTTAGACTTCTGGGGTGCGTTGGCTTTGGGCTCAGCAGGTTTCTTCGCGAGGCCAAATGCTTTGCGTTGTCTAAAGCGAACTACGGATGGATTGCTCGGGCTCCCACTTTCACGGCTTCCAAGCAGCTTTGGACTTGTTTGTGGAGGGCTGCTGGGACTATCCATTACAGTAGCCCTTGGGTTCGGGCCCTTATCTGGGGCAACTGTCACCTGGACGTTCTGTGGGCGACTAGGCTAGTTGGTGGGTTGCTTAGGCGAGCGGCTAAGGAGCCAGTCAGGTGGACGTCTGCCCGAGGGACTGCCTGCCGGGCTCTGCAGGACTGGCTTCTCCAGCGTGGCTGGACGGTTGCAGGGGCTTGGCAGTGGCGTCATGCTCTCAGCAATGCTGTTTTGGACCTTGGAATCCGGCAGAGGGCCCGGCTTACGGCGTCGGCCTTAGCGCGTCGCATTGGCCGCGAGCAGCACTCTTTGCGTGAGGGCTGGAGGGCGTGGATCGCCCTGCAGTGGCTTGGCAGTGACCGTCACGAGCTTAATGGCGTGGACCTTTGGCAGGCCGGTGGCCCAGGTTTGACCAGAGTTTCGTGGAAGGGAGTCCGTGACTGGGCCTCGTCCAGTGCGGCTGCTGCCGCAGTGGCGTCTGGGAGTACGTTTACTCCTGCCACATGGAACCATGTTTCCAACAGACCTGAGGGCATGTCGGACAGATGCATTTGGAATTGCGGATGTCTTGGGACCCATAGGCATGTCTTTTGGGAATGCCCCCGACGGCCTTCTTCGGTGCCTTGCCCGACTAACCCACTCGTTTCTCGATTTGGGTGGTCTGTGAGTGGCGGTGAGCGTGGCGTCGCTCTCAAACGCGTCAGGGAGTGGATGTGCCATGTGCAACATGAACTCTGGCGCAACAGATGGGGCCGGGACCCTTCTGCTGTCGAACGCTAGGTCCCTGTTCCTAGCGCTCGCTCATGCTGTGTCGACGACTTGACGACGACGCACATGCTTGGGTTGTGTGTGTTGTGGGGGCGGCGGGTTGGTCCTGTAGGCTCTCACTGCATGTACGTTTGTTTGCACTCCTGTCATGTGACTGTGCTGGCTTTTGGCTCCTGCTGCAGGGAAGCCCCGGCTTCTCTGACTAAGGTACTTGTCTGCGGAGCGCATCTAAGGACATGCCTTGGTGCTACGTCGATTGGCGGCGGGAGCACATCGAAAAGTCGTATATGTTTACATCTGCCCCCTCGTCGATGAGCTGCTGCACTTTTGTGGCATCGCCGTCTTTCGCAGCTTGGATCAACTCGGCAAAGCCCAAAGTGCCACGCACGAGAGCGATGAGGAGCAGAGGCACGAGCTTCAGGCACATGGCTATTCGCATTTACCCTCTGCACAATTGGCAGGCTCTGCGACTCACTGCGCGAGTTTCTTTCTGGTTTCCTTGAGCAGTACATTACCGGCACGCAGCTCGTGCGACACTCTGATGACATGCAAGAGGCCTTCATCACTTGTTGACCTACAGACTTCCACGCTAGGCTTTCCCGGTGTACTACGACTACTACTACTACTGCTGCTACTGCTACTGCTACTGCTACTGCTACTGCTACTGCTACTAACTACTACTACATTACTACTGTTAGCATATTTGCTTTTGCATTGACCCCCTTACGTTTACAAGCCCTTAAATCGACATCTTGCACAGAAAGCTATAAGCTCACTGTTGGCTTCCTCAAGCATAAGCCGCAAGCAACCCCCAGTACACTGGCAAGTGAGCTGTTTCGGACGCTTTGCCTGACCCCTGCAAAGCCCGTCTTTCGAATTTGCAAGCATGTAGGGTTGACGCCACAGCACTTGGGGCTTGGCTTTAACTGCATCAGGTGGGGATGGGCAGGGGTTGGCGCTTCCATGTGCTCAGCGCATACAGCAAGAACCCGTGCTCGCTCAGTCGCCATCAGAACCTGCTTCAGGAATTTGGATTTGACAACGTTGGTGGCCTTTGGGTGTTGGCAGTTTGCCGCTGTCTGTAGCATAGGGTTTTTGCTGACGTTTGCTGGTTTTGACTCTCACGCGCGCACAAGTCAAGGGCAAACTTCTGCGGCCCCCATTGCCCTCGAACACTCACTTACTGCAAATTTCGCTCTGACACTGAAAACATTCATCCTCTCCCTTTCTGGCTTTCCTTGCCTTACCTTTCAACTGTAGTGTTCCTTGTCTTCTCCCTCTTTATCTCTTTCTCGCTTCTATCTTACTCTATGTCCATCTTTCTTGTATCTCTCGGCGGTCGTGCTCTTCCAGAAATCTCAAGGTTGTAAACTACCGTCAGGACAGAAGTGGCCTCTTCCGCTTTCGGCAAGGAGTCGCCTGTCAAAACCAAACATGTAGGCTGTGAGGCAAGGAAACACTCTCGGGCGACGACAAGAGGGGCAGCAGCAGAAACGTTATGATTCTGACTGCCACCAAGTTGAGTTTAACATGCACTGGAATGTTTCGAACAATTCTTCTCGCTTCGATGTTGGTTTCACGAGTCTGGCTCGACCTTCGGACATCCTGAAACTGCCGGAATCCATGCTTCAAGGTTCAACACTGAGGATCACCGAACCTAACCCTAAACCGGAGACCCGAAACTCTAAACCCTAAACCCGAACGGCCCGAAACCGAAAACTCGAAACCCGAAAGCCTGAAATGGAAAGCCTGGGCCTGGAAGTTGCCCTGCGACTTGGGGGCATGTCGTCCGCAGTATCCGCTGCCCTGGAACCCAGGGTCAGGAAGTTGAAAGCTCTGGGGGGTTATGGCTTCGGCGCTCACACTCGGACAAGCCAGGCGAGGTTGTTGGTACGTGGTCTTAGGTTTAGGTGCTTTTGGCTCCTGTAGGATTTAGGATTTTTGTTGAAGGGCTTAGGCTTTCTTTTGGTAGCTTAGCACCGGGTAAGGTCTAGGGCCTCCTGAGTGGTCAGTCGGTCGCCTTCCAAGCTGGTTTTCCAATCGCGCTGTTCGTCTTCGCTCCTTGAGTGCCTCTCTCGTAAAAAACACGAAACCCCTAAACCCTAAACTCCTAAACTCCAAACCCTTAACCCCCTGCCAGGTAAGGCACCCAAAACGCCTAAACCCCAAAAAATCTAAACCTGAAACCCTGGGCCTGGGAGTTGTCCACTTCGGGGCACGGCTGCCCTGAAAACCGAGGGCCAAGAAGTAGAAAGCTTAGGATATTTAGTCTCTGTAGGGTTTGGGGTAGGGATTTGATTTGGGGGCCTTTGGGTTTCAGGTCTGTCTGGTAGTTTACGCTTCCATCTTCAAAGTGTTGCGGACGTATTCTCGTAAGGCAAGTAGGCTTGGCTTGGCTCTCCCCCTTTCCCGCCGGCGGAGGCCTTCTCGAGAAATGCAATGGGCTCTGAAACAAAATCTTGTGCTACTTGCTACATACTTCTCCGATGCTCTCTCGCGGCCTCTCTCTGTCCTCCTCTCTTTGTCTCAGGCTTTACTACAGGACGTTGCCT